AGAAAGAAAACTGTCAGACCGTTGAAGGTTTTATTTGCTCACACTGTAACAAAATCAGTTTTTGAAGATACAATTGTTCAACAATCAAGAAATTAAAATCAACTCGAATTCACACTGGCAAACCAAATTAAAAGAGAACAAAACTTAGCTCTACAAAAACGCCAAAAAGTTTTTATTACGTCCTTCCCTCCTCATAAGTCGCTTTGAAATAGCGTCCCATCACCATTACCAATATGCTACAGGTGCTTTTAAACTAATCAACCTACAACTCGATTTGTTCAAGCAGCTATCGTAGCTGCAAAAATGCAGACACCAACGTTGTATTCCTATACGGAGCAGACCCACAAAAAATGTTTTAACGACATAAACTGCATCAATCAGATGCAAAAGATAAATAAAAAGCTGAGGATTTAAAATCAGTCACTCAAATCTCAGCAGGAGAGAAAAATTTTCGAAACTCTTCAAAAAATTCAAATAATTTTTTATCGGCCTTCGTATTTTCATTGTGATAAAACTTTATAAAGTTCGATTAATTTTTACTATTTATGCTCAATCACCTTACAGAGACTTACGTTACCACCTACTGTGATTTAGCGCCATCACAAGACGACATATTAACGATACACTCTTGTCTTTGTTAAGACTTTATGATATGAATTCAATTTGTTAATTTTATAATTTCACATTTTTGATGCCCTATTTTGATACACGTAAAAACTCACCCCATTAGAAGCGTGGACGTTCTGAATCAACTTCAGTACCTCCTTTTTCCCCTGGATAATATCAGCATAAATGCAGACGAATTACGTCAATATAAATTATTTGGTTTATATTACCAAAAATGCTGATTGCGAATATGGAAGTTAACCGAATATGGTTATTTAAGTAAACTAACAGCATAAATCTAAGAAGCAAGCGTGAGAAAACAAGATTAGTCCAATCAACAAACTTTTGGAACGTGTTTAATATCGATTGTCAGTCTTCAAATCAGGGGCGGATCTAGTATTTTCTCGAGGGGGGGGGGCGGATTTACAAAAAAAATCGCAAATTTTCTGCGCCGCAGGCAAATTTTTGAAAAAACAGTCAAAAAAGCCGTTTTTGGGCACTTTTTGAAAAATTTTGACAAAAAAAATCGCGTTTTTTTTGGCGCGCGCTCCCCCTCAAAGTAGTATATATTGGCGCCAAAGGCGCCTTTAGAAAAATTTTAGGGTCGGTCGGCCAAAAATGGATTTCTGAAAAAGTATCAAAGGGGGGACCCTTTGGGTCGGCAGGGGGTCGAATCCCTAAGGAGGGAGCGTCCGCCCCCCCCGCCCCCCCTAAATCCGCCCCTGCTTCAAATAGAAAGCGAAAAGATGCCAAATCATTGGCTTGTCGATTTTTGTTTCTAAAGCGCAAAACAAAACAACAGTCAATTTTGCTCAAGGCTTTCTTTAGCTTAAACGGTCTTCTAATTTATTAATTCCCAGCTCCTCCCAACCCTCTGGCCAATAAAAATTTATTGTATCAAAAACGATAAATCTCATCAGTGAATAAAATACTTTAGCTTAAATATAAAATCCAGCCTCATAACATACATTCTCTTCATAATATTTTGTCAATCCATAATAATCTTTTATTGATGATTTTTGTGCCAGAAAAATAATATATTGGAAAAAATAAAAACTTTAAGGGTAGATCAAAGATTTAGTTCTATTATTAAAAAAAAAATCTGAGCAATAGGTAGAAAGAACCTTATATTGTACTAGCAGCGATTTGGTTGATCGTATTAGTTCACGCCAGCTAGCCCAGTTTTTAGAATGCGTAAATTTAAAATTTTTAGCAAAAATATATAAACTACATGTGCTTAGGCTATCATGCGGTGGCTCTTCTAAACAGTATACCCAGACCACATTTATGTACAGCCACTCAAAAATACGGATAATTACAGGAAAAAAGCCAACAAATATATTTTTTTTAAATCAATGATAAAATTCTGTTCAAAATGCAGTAGAATTTAATCGAAATTTCAGTTTTGCAAATTCTTACATGCAAATTTGACTGATAAGCTGGTTAACTCAGACCAGCTTTTCTCGCCACTGAGACAACTTTTGAACTTCCTTTTAGAATCAGAATCAGCCAGCTCCACTTTTTAGAGGTCTAATTTTCATATGAGTTCAATTGTCCTGATTACTATGTCAATTCTACCGGAACTCCAAGACCAGCTCTGTTTTGAGGTGTGTTCATGATGTTGCGTCACGTCAAAAATACCTCATCAGCTATATAACAAAATTGACCAGGATTATTATATATTATATATAAATCTACTCATCTGAAACGTCTACGTCCAATAACGTATACAAAGTAGGTTATTATTTAACTTCATCAAAATACTGATTTTTTTGTCTTCTCTTACGCTGTGTGCAATTCAAAATGAATTCATGCAGTTTCAAAACAGTATGAAATCACTTTGACCTATGACTAACTTTAATTTAGAAAAACTACAGGCCAAAGTGAACAATCTCTTCCCTTACTAGACCAGGTGAACCATCTCCTCTAGAAATTAAATGACAAATTCAAGCCATAAGGCCTACTTGTGCTATGCTCAAATCTCATTGGCTGAGAGTTATTACTTTTAACCAAGTGCACTATCTCCTTCCTAAATTGATTTAGGGGGCAGATTGTTCACTTGGTCGGAAATACAACTTTGACAAGGAAGCTGCAACTCGCATGAAATGGTCAAAAATTTGGCACCATAACGTTCAATTGAGACGTGCGAATTTGGCTAGGAAACATTGTATTTTTAGAACACAAGCAACGCTTGGGAGCGGCGGTCAAGTGTTTACTTCTTCGCCTATCATCTAAATGTCGGATGTTCGCGGCTCACCATGATTCGTGCTCTTTGCTTGGGGGTGAGTAAGCTTTACCCAGGCCAAAAAATGCAAATAGCTCTCAAACTGGGACGAAACAGCGGTTCTGCGTAAATAGCTGAACATCTTATATGTTGGTCCTTTCCTTAGTGAATAAACCATCTTAAATGTCCATTACAATACTGTGACTGACGTTGAGTGTTATTAACTGACGTTGTTAGGCCCATAAATGTACGATTCGATCATAGAGACACAAAAACGCATTTGATTTAAGTTGTATTCAAAAAATAGGCTTAAAAATATCTATTTAACTCAGGTAAAATGAATTTTATTCTCTAAATCATTTGCGTTTCTTCTTTGGACAAACAATTTCATTTCCTACAAAATAAAAAGTCATTTCTAATTGTCAATATTTGGTGCCATTTTTGAAAGAGTTCCAAGCGCCTTGCATTCTCCACACGCTGAAAGCATAGCTGAGTCTCTCCTGCTGAATGTAACTGCAAGCTGGAGGAGCTCTCAGGTCAAGTTCATTACATTGCAACACTTGGTAAAGAAACTCAATATACTTGCATGCCAACTTCAATGTCTGAATTTTACTCAGCTTATCCGAAGGAAGGGTCGGAATTATTGCTCTCAATTGCTGAAACGTCTCATTTAACGACTGCGTTCTTTGTCTTTCTCTTATATTGGCCAACGCTCTTTGCTGCTGCAACTCTTCATAAGATGTCGCTGACGCCGCTGGTGAATTTGAAATCTTTGAACCCTTGTCACCTTCGCGAGACATTCGAGCTCGTTTTTCACTGCTCGATTCTAGACTATCGTCATTTTCGTTCATATGTCGGCCATTCTCGGCTTCTTTCTTGCATGTGATTGGTCGTTTGCGGTGATTGGAGGTCAATATGGGCATTTCGGGAGTGGCGTCCTGTTGGAGCACTGCTTTCGTGGCGGGGTAACACTGATCGTTTTGGGTGACGTTATTGTTTCCGAGATCGATTGTCGAGTCGTAATTAAGGTTGCAATCTGGGAAAAGCGACTCCATCTTGAAGTCTCTGACAAATCTTCGCGGACGAATAAGACGATCACGGCAAAAAACGCAGGTTTCCTTGAATAACTCGATTATGGAAATGCAATGTTGAAGATTCAATCTAGGTTGAGATCTAACTGATTTATTAATGCAAATAGATTAGATTGTTATCTGTGCACCCAGTTTCCTCTTTTTCAAATAAGAGTGCCAAGTGTCTGGTTGCTTTGTACCCTCTGGGTGACTGATCAGTTATATTATTGACTGTGTAGGGGAGAGACGAAATAGGGCGATAAGTTGATTGCGGGTGAAACACAGGTGAGTTGTGTAGTTTTGCGTTTCATGTGGCCTTTCACTGATTAGAGAGGGCGCAATTATAACTCAGACACTGTGGCGCCAACAACACATGGCGTGTTTCCAGAATGTTTCCAGAATAGTTGTGGATTGGTAGAAAAGCAAAGCACGGGAATGCAAGCTTTGCTATGATAGGTGACCCCTAATGCATTAAAATACAAAAACCAGGCGAATATGATTTGGTTTGAGAGTAAAATTGTACCGAAACTGGTAGCAAAACTATAAAATAGATCCCGAAAACCTGCGTTTTAATTTATGCTGGCCTAATTCTTTTCTGGTGGAATATTTAGAATGCCTTTATTTCTAGCTGGGACGTTAATTAAAGCCAGAAGTGTTAATAGAAGTATCGTGGCTTTTGCTAAATCCATTAGTAGTTTTCCTAACTTTCTTCTAAAATTATTAAGCCCGTGAGTTTACCCCAATGATAATAAACAGGGATTTGTTCCAAAACAATTTGCAAAGCATTCACTAATCCCTTGTTGTACCGGATCGACACTTAATACTACACGCTACACTTCAGTACTCGCAAAAATTTACTTCGACTCGAGCTAAGCCCCTCCCCTATCGCCCTCCCCCAACGAACCCAATCGCATTTACACGTTTCCAACTTGTTTTCTCTGGGTAACAAATACATTCTCTACCTTGTATCATGATTAGAGTTAACTTATTTTCCCAATTACGATTCAGATAAAAACACTAGATAGATAAGCTAAGTATCATTTAGAAAACGCCAGCGGAACTGTTTTGAAACAATAGAACAATTTTAATATCAAAGAAAACAGGTCAAAAAGAATCTATTGCTCAATAATTTACCTACGGATAAACATTTTGGTCAGCATATCAAATTAATCAGAAATTTAAATTAATTCTCGTTGCTTTATGAAGTGGTTTTTCTGCCATGAATTTAACTATTCTCGGGGCGCAACAATCACGCATCGATTTACATAAATTTTAAGTATTCTAACCCCAAATTATCAAAACATATTAATAAAACGGTCAAAACTGTCAAATAATGGAAGTACCTGATAAGATATCAAATTAAGCATTCGCTGTCAAATTAGACAAAAAGCTACTGCTAATTAATGCTTGCGAGTTTAGTTAGTTTCAAATTGTCTTCATTCTCTAACTCATGAGCTAATCTCGAGTCATTTCCTACTATCAGGTCATCGTGGAGCAGAAATGCATGCCATTTGATTGACCTCTTCTGTTGACCCCAGTTTATATGAGTGATGATGGGGTTGTTCTATGCGTCTGGGAAGATGAATTTGAAGAAAGCACAGAGTACTGCCAGTATTATGATGAACATGGGGATCTTGCTCAGCAACAGGATCTGAAATACACAACCTCAGTCCTATATCTAACTTTAAGAAAGACACATAGGACTTAACCAAGAGTTGAAGAGCACTGAACAGTTAATGGGGCTCATTTTCCTGACCCCTTCCCGTCCCCAAACTCATTTAAGCATCACTTTTATGGTGACACGAGACGTTTTTACAAAGTCAAGTATATAGACTTAACATGTTAGGAATAATGAGTCAGTCTGCTAATTTTGATAACAATCGTAATTGTGATTAAAACATTTACGCGGTAAAAATTTGAAAGCGGAGTAGAAAGTTAATCTAATATTTGACAAGATCTGAAAGAGTACAAAGATAATTGTACGTGTACTCACACTCTCCTGTTCAGCTGGTGTGTTGAGTTGGTTTACTCTGTCTAGGAGACTACAAGAGGACGCATTAAGTGACTGTCGCTGCGTCTGAAGATTGCACAGCTCCTCCGACACCTGCTGGATGGCCTACAACCAACACAACAAAATTATAGTATTTTAGAAGGAAGCAAATTTGGATATTTCAGAGGCACTCAAGTCCGATGTTTGAACACAGTGGCAAAGCAGCAATTCGCAAACACGAGCAAAAAAAGGCAAGGATCTTTAGAAATTGCAAAACATGGAAAATGCAACGAAATACAAATATCAGCTCCCAAACAAAAAAAATGACACTACGGGATTCAAACGCGGACATACAGACCAAGGGTCACTTACCTGAACGATTATATAAGGATACTTCAACGATTAATAACAAAAAACCTGTGAAGTTGAAACAAACAAGAGTAAATATAACAAACAAAAAGCTGACTTGTTTTTTGAAAACAGCTCCACTTTCGAACTTCAAAGAAAAAAATAGATAGCCTTAAAGCTCTTTGAATTTCTAGAACATTTTATGATTGTCATTTTTTGATAAAATTAACCCAATTTGAGAAAACTGGACCCAGACGCAAAATATTTATTGAAAACTAAAATCAAATTTTGAAACTAGAATTGATCACAATTTTCATGAATTTTACACTTTTGCTGTTCGATTTTGGAATCCAAAAAATGAAAAAAAAAATCGAGAAATCCACAACTAAAACTTCAAGATTCTGTCAGGAATGATGTATTTATGGAAAGTTGTCCAGAAACACAGTCGACGGCGTTTAATGAAGTCTAAAGACGTTTATCGAGCCAAAACTGAACCAAAAAAAATTTGAGTAAGTTCCCTTAGAGCCAAAAAACTAAATTTTTTCATGAAACCTTCTACAATGTATATTCTAAGATTTTAAGCTTTTTCTGCTATCTAGAGGGGAGCATTCAAACTATCTTTCCTTAAAATTATTCAAAATTAGGTCACTTAGCCGACAAAATGAAAGCCAAAATCATTTGCGCAAAAAAAAGTTTTTAAGCAAAAAAAACAACGAAAAAAGAAATATACAAAGTCAAGGTTAGTACAATTACAAACAGCAGAAGTAAATCAAAACACTAAAAAAAACTACAATGAGAATTGCGTACAGCAAGCAATCAACTCGACGATTTGACAACTAGGCCGAAAAAACAAGCTGAAAATAAACAAAGCCAACATACAGTTGGAAAAGAGTCAATGAAAGCAAATGAACAGAAAGAAAATGCTGACTTGAATTTTCAAAAATCTTATCTTTTGAATTTCAGAGAAAAAAAGATGGCCTTAAGCTCTTTGAATTCGTAAAACAATTTATGATGCACACTTTTTTGTTAAAATTAATCCAATTTGAGACAACTGGATCAATAGGCAAAACTTTTCTTTCACTGGGAACTCTGATGATTAATTTCTAATTGCGAACTTAAGTCGATCACGTTTTTCGTGATTTTTACACTTTTGCTGTTCGATAGTGGAGTTTGCCTTGTTTTCAACAAGGAATACGAACTGAACTTACAAAGAAATCATAAGTCAAATCGCGAAAAATCAAGCTTGAGCGTAAACAAATTTTAAGGCTTTTTCCTGAAAAAAAAAACAGCAAGACCTATATAAGAGTACTCAATAAGTTCAGTACTCTTAATAAAATTAAATGCGGCGCCTTCTGTGCTACTTGCTGAAGTAGCATAGAATGCTGATATGAATATAACTTGATACCAAAATTTTTACCCTGCTTGCTTTCCTTTCGGCGGCCAGCCGGAGTCGGAAACACTTCCCGCAAAGTTGTGGGCCTGAAAATTTTCACCCATTTCGGATATAAATTGCAAATTTTTTTATTTTCACTAATTTTTTAATAAGCAGTCTGCTGAAAACTTTTTTAGCTGATAAATTGTTCTTAAATGATTTACAGCAAAATTATTGGTCCAAAATTTTATCTTATGTTTGAGAGTTTTATCTTATGTTTTATCCTACCTAAAAGATTGTTACATATTTACACTTATTAATCCGTCGTTTGTATAGACTTTAAAAGAAAAAGAATAAATTCAAGATTTAAAAAACAGCATTTCAGAACAATTTTATGCTGGCCTTTCTTTAAAAACAGCCAATTGGAAAAGAGTCAATGAATGCAAGTAAAGAGAAAAAATATACTGGCTCTTAAGGCTCTTTTTATTTCTAAAACAAATTATGGTTGGTACTTTGGTGATAAAAAATTATTTCAATTGGAGAAAACTGGATCAATAGATGAAAACTTTATTTCGCTGGGAAATCTGAAAACTAAACACCACTTTCGAAATTAGAAATCGATCACAATTTTCGTGACCTCACTTTAACTGTTCCATTCTGGAGTTTGCTTTCCTTTTAAGGAAATGAATTGAATTTTGAAAGAAAACAAAAATCAAACCGCGAAAAACTAAACTTGAGCCTCAACAAGACTTTTTCTGAGAAAAAAAAACAAAAAAAATCATCAGGACCTATAAAAGAGTCTGAACTACGTTCATCGACTCTTAATTAGCCGACACTTCTGAAACCGAATATTTCCCGTTTGAGGAAAAAAAGTCCTGTCCGATTCGAAACCATAATCTTTGCCGTCCCAGGCGTATTCGTTACCTCCAGACCAAGTGTTCCGAAGACGCAAAAAAACTTAAGTTCATTATGAACTGAACCTAATTTTAGCATTTCTAACTTTGACCATTCAGTGAACAAAGTTATTCAAGGGAAAAGGTCTAGTGCCCGATTGCAAAACTTTGCTGATCGCCAGGGTACTAATATTTAACTAAGTTTAGCACTATGCTCCCCATCTGATCAACTGCAAAACTGAATTTCATGCATTGTTTATGACTAGCACCTTTTTTAAATTCACTTTTGAAACAACAAAACATTCATATTTTTCCTGGCCTTCATACTTTTGCCTTTCGATAGTAGAGCTTGCCTTCCTTTTAAAAAGAAAATGAGCAAAACTAAAAAAAAAGAAATCAAAAATGAAACCGCGAAAAAACCAAATTTGAGCGTGAAAAAATAGTCACGACCTATGTAAGAGTCTTCATTACGTTCATCGACTCTTAAAACTCATCAAAACATATAAAAGTGACACTTTGTTCAGTTACACAAAAAAACTGATCATATCAAGGTGCCGCCCTGAATAATCCAACCTCTCGTTAACGTCGTTATAGTATTACTTGGTCATAAAATTGCTAAAACCAAAATATTCCTTTGCTGCATTTTATCCTCCAGGAGCGTAGTAAAGTACAAAATGATATAAATTCTGTCTGGTAGAGTATTAAAAAGACCAAATTGCTTGCCTCAACTCAATTTGAAATGATTTCGGGGCCGGATTAATCTCTTCAATAGGAAAAAAATGATCGCATGTTAAAATGGTTTCTTATAATCGAAGAACCGAATGCGCAAAATTTCTCAACACCCCCTTAAACTGACTAAATTTATCGCTAATTTCTTCGGAAGTTTCGAATACTGAGCTCTGATTGGTTGACAAAGTAACTTTCTCTCATTCAGTACTTTGCGAATGACGAATCCCCCCTCCCGCGCGTTAATAATCCCAAATCCCTATAACTACACAAAAATGATCGCGGTAAAAATCACTTTTTCAATTTTGAGCTCAAGGTATCAATATATTTCACATTAAAAAAGAAAGTTCCGTTAAAAAATGCAAGTTAAAAAGTCCTAACAATTCACAAACTAGGGTGTCTTGAAGTCTCCACAAGAGCCCTGCTCTGAAAACTTGAAAAAAGGCTTAAAAAATAATACTATAAATAAGCAATAGGTCAAATACTTATACGGTCCATTAGACCACTGAGACTTTATGCTTCATACCCTTTCACACAAACTTGAAAAGTAATTTCCAGGCAGCAATGAGTGTGCTTCATTTAGGTGGATACAAGTCATGCTATTAAATCGCATGCCAATAATACCAAAATTAAACATAGAAAGTTGCGACATAGGATAGAAAAAAGTGACTTGATGTTTTAACACAAGTAGTGCTCGAGGGAAGACGCATACCGTGATAGCAGTCTGCATCTGTTCGTGTTCAGCTCTGTCGTGTTTCTGTCGCAGCTGGTTTAGTGCGTCCTTGAGGGACAGAAGAGCACTGCCTATCTCACTCTGGTTCTCCCTCAGTCTCACGTGAACAAACCGCATCTCGCTCTCCAGTCTCTCCCTCTCCGCCTCACTCCTACATGGAAAATCGTCACACTGTTATTTCTCATGAAATGCAACTAGAACAAAGTTTATAAGGTCAATGAAAATGTTGGGCATAGTTATTACAGTTACCGCACCAAAGTTGTACCTTTGCATTTTGTGCACTTTTTAAAAGATCATCGCATTCTTTTCCGCTGATACAAAATCGGAGTATCAAACTAGAACAATGGTAGAAAAAAGCCCATAGATATCGATAAGCTGAATTTCAGTTGGGTGAATGAACAAACGACTGAAAAGTTAACTTAATACGATCAGCAACCGGGTCAGCTTAAAACTCAAGTAGATTTTGGACGCTCCTTTCCTAGCTGATTCCGAGATTACATGAGCACAGAGTCGTGTCATCAAAAATGAGCGTGAAAATAGTCAAATTGATGGAAAGAATGGTAGATAAGAGATTCAGAAACAGTTACCCACGTACCCAGTAGTACCTCCCGGTAGAAACCTGAACACCGTTTAAAATATCTGAACTATAGAGACAGGGCGCATTTATAATTGACAGATCGATTAGATGTGGAAAAACCCTTCATTTTAAAACATACTTTTTGTACAAGCCTTCATTTGCAAAACAGTGAAGAAAATGCTGTGCCAGGGTAGCCGATTTTTTGTCCCAGGCTAGACCGATTCTTTATAAAAATTCTTCCAGCTATTGATTATCTCCGTTATCTACCAGATAGATTTTGCGCTCACAAGAGAAAAAAAACAGCAATTCAGGACACAACAAACCAACACGGTTAAGTTCATGATAACTTAGTAACTTCATGATAACTTAAGTTCATGATAACTTAGGCCTCTTGATAGCCTCTCCAATTCACAGAAACCAAAATTTGGGAGCTTTCCCGCTCTATGCCATCCACGGCGGTTAAAACTCTTTTGTAGTTGGAATACATAACTTTTAAGATCCCTTATGCAGCAAAAATAAGTCTGACCTCCTGAGTTTGTCGATGAACTTGACAGGCGTCCTCTGGAAGGCACCGGTTGGCAGCTGCAGTTCCTCCAGAGATCCCTGAGACAGCTGGTCACCCATGTCACTCCTGCTGCTGTCTGCCCCTCCCCCTGCACTCCGGTCAACCAGGCCCTCCCTTTCACTCGCAACTCTCAAGGCTGCTTCTAAAAGGGTAGTTTTATTGTAGTTTTTGAACCGTGGATATTTTCCGATTTGAGAAAAAATTGATAAAAGACTTCTTTATATTTAATTAAACTTTTAATTATCCATATCCATAACCGGGCATTTCAAATCTCAATAAGAAAAACAACGACACATTAACGCCGGAGATTTAACAAATCAAAAACTACTTAAATAAGCCTTCATGAATAACTTTCAACCTCTCTGATCAATCAGTCAAAAATTCCACCAGTTGGTTGACTTACCAGTTTCTCTTAACTTCTCCTTCAACCTATCACATTCTTTCTTCTGATCGGCTTGACTCTTTTCAATCTTCTTATTCAATACTTCAATTTCACTCCTCAGTTGAGCTTCAATACTTTTCACGCCATTCAGTTGTTTCTTCAACTCTGCTAATTCGCCGTCTCTAGTTGATAACTGCTGACTATGTTCACTCTTTTCGTTGTGCATCAATGAACGCGCTTCAGCTAGTTGCAGTTCCAGAGACTGAAAACATAGAAGAAAGAGCAAATCAATATACGTTTAAAAGCCCTGCTATCCATTAACGATTTTTTTTGCAAATAGTCAAATAAAAGAACGCTCTTAAAATATAGAGCATTTTAAGATGGTAAAGATCTTTTAGACGCGGTTTGGATTTCTAAAACAAACTTCAAACAGTTGTCTCGATGTCGAGAAAAACTGGTGAGAAATTTTCAATTTTCGTAATTGATTACCAAGAATTTTACTTTAAGCATGTGCTCTCAATCAAAATATAGCCGCCAACAGACTGTTGGAAAACTGAATAAGAACTCACGGAAACCGGATAAAAAACTAATTGAAAAATTTTCAGCTTTTGAAGAAAATTTCAATAAGTTTACGCTCTTTGAATTTCACGAATCGTTTATGTTGGGCAAAAAGTTTTAGTGGTTATCTTATTTAGGGGAAACTGGATCATTACTTATAGAAAATTCAAAACCATTCTTGAAAGAAAAAATTATTCACTTTATTCTCGTCCTTTACACTTTGCTGTTCAAAAGTGGAGTTTGCCTTGTCTTTCACAATTTAAAATAAACAAATTAAAAAATAAACTATATGTTCAGACAAAAATTCAAATTTGAGCATAATTGTTTTCCGCTCGAACTCACGACTTATATGAGTGAAAATCACTTCGTTCTTTTACACTTGATATACATTTCTTGATCTTGATGATTATTGCAGATCAGTTTAAAATCGATCTGTTCCCTTATTTTAGAAAAAAATATAGCCAACAGCCAGTGGAAAGTGTCAATGAACGCAAGAAAACCGGAAAAAAATGATTGAATGACTTTTGTTTGCAGTTCATTTTTCGAACGTCAAAAAAATTACCTTAAATTTACTACTAAAAATATGGCCGTAAAGCTCTCAGAATTTCAAAAGCAACACAAGAGATTGACACGTTGATAAAAGTAACTCAATTTGAGAAAACTGCATTAATAGGTAAACATTTTATTCCGCTGGGAAAACTAAATAATTAAAAGCCACTTTCAAAAGTAGAAGCAGATAATTTTCGTGGACTATCCACTTTTGCGGTTCGATTGGACAGTTTGCCTTCATTTTAAAAGAATTTAGCTGATCTTGAAAAGAAATTAAAATCAAAACAAATTGTAACTTTTCGGGAACAAATTTTAACTTTTCGTGAAAAAAAAAACAGAAAAAAATCATCACGACCTATATAAGATTCTTCACTACGTTCATCGACGCTTACTAACTATACTTAACAAAAGTATTATACGTTTTTCATTATAATCTCGTTCTGAAAAAACTGTCAAAACACGTTTTGAGGAAAAAGACAATCACTAGCATTCAAGTAGCCTTGAAAAAAATTCACGACGAGGCAACTAAGGCAACAATACTAAGGTACTGCTTGAGCTGAAAAAATATAATAAAACTTTTCGTAAATCCAAGTTTGCAAGTTTCGTATATCCCTCTCCCTCGTGATGAACATATATACATAAAAATCGAACTTCGCCCATGAAACAGATCGATATGATGCCACCAAACAATATAACATAAGCCAGAAACCATATAAGAGGAAAAAAAGGAAACTCTAAAAACCTGATTTGAATTTCAATCAACCAACAGAGCCAGCATACAGCTGAACGTACATAGCCAAAAGATAGTAGGAACAGAGTCAATGAACGCAAATTAACATAAAAAAACTTGTTTTTTTTTTAAAAAAAAATATCAACCTTGGAATGTCAAGAAAAAAGGTCTTTGAAATTCTAGAATAGTTTGTCATTTGAACTTTTTTCGATAAAATTAACCCTATTTGAAAAAAAAACGGGATCAATAGGTTTTTTTGTTAAAGAAATCTGAAAATTCAATTCCAATATCGAAACTAGAAGTCAATCATGTTTTTCATGAAATTAACACTTTCGCTGTTCGATAGTGGAGTTTTCCTTCTTTTCAACAAAGAATACGAACTGAACTTACAAAGAAATCATAAGTCAAATCGCGAAAAAGTAAGTTTGAGCCTGAACAAATTTAATGACTTCCTGAAAAAAAAAACGAATTAACAAAAATCATGACGACCTAGATAAGAGTCTGGAGTACTTCATCGACTCTAAAAAAGGAGGCCTTGAAGCTTTTTGAACTTCTAGAAAAATTTATGATTCACACTTTTTTGATCAAATAAACCGAATTTGAGAAAACTGGGCCAATAAGTAAACTTTTTTATCATCACGACCTGTAGTAGAGTCTGAACTACGTTTATCGACTCTCAATAAGGGAAAACAAAAAAAAACGTTTGGCTTATTTAAAACATTTTCAATGATCAAATTTCGTATAAAAATATCTCATTAAAGATTCTTGAACTTTTTTTATTCAAAGTATTTTTTATTCGTAAAATATATTTTTTTTATTTGCAACAAAATGGATCAAGTTTTTTAATCTACTGGGAAATTTTTAAGTTAAAACCTTTTTAAATAGACTTTCAAGTTTCTTCACGCCATTTCCTTTTTCGAATTGAACAGCCTACCTTTTCTTTCTTTCAGTATATGAATATTAAAAAAACGTCAAACCGAAAAACATCAAACCCGAAAAAACATCATCATTACCTGGATATGTAATTACTACGTTCATTGAACCTCGGAAATAATAGAACTAAACGTGTATTCAAAATTCAAAAGGCCTCAAAATTTTTATGTTGGCTGAAAAGTCTGTTGCGACCAAATGATTCATAATATTTCGTGAGACAAATTGTTAACCTGTAAAAGTGTGTTCTGATCTCATAACGCAGGCTAATCACAATGGTAAATCTTTTAGAGACTTTTCATCTCATACCTTTTTTGTACAAGGGTTAGCACAAAGTAACAGCATCTCGCTTTGATATATATATATATATTTTTTTTTTTTACTGTTCTGTTATTTAGGTTACAGCTAAAATATAAAACCTATCTAATACACTTACTCCTAATGTTTTAGTCTTCTGCTCTACGCTACTCTTCAGCAACTCTACATTTGCGAGCAACCTCTCGTTATTTTGCCGCAGGGCTTCAAACTCCGCCTGCCTATCTTCAGACAAGTGTGAACAGAAAGTCTGTAGCTGTTCCGAGTGCTTCTTGATATCCGACTCCAGAGCCGAAAGGTAAATCTCACTCTCATTGAAACCCGAGTCCTCTAGGGGCTCAATAAGTTCTTTATCCACTCCTGGTTCCTCGCTTGATCCCGGTTGTGTCGGCGAGAGGTCTTGAGATTCGGTTAAGTTCAAATCATCTGCTTCTCTCTGTTCTTTAATGGCCTGATCAACTGATCTCTCGTTGAATTGAGTTTGATGCTCGACCTCTGCTGTCACGATAGATCCACTGGCAACCTACATGAGAGAATTCTTTTTAGAGAATAGTTCGCAATTTATATTTTGCGCTCTTAAAACAACAACATTTCATTTCATTGCTATTTGAAGCTTTAAGAAAAAATCAACACCGTAACTAACATTCTTATGAAGATCCCTTAAAAAGGTCGAAGCTTTCCATATTGGCATGCTCTTATGCCAGGAGTTGAGATGACAACAAAAATAATATCAGATTTTTAAATGATTTTTTATTTTCCTTTTGTGTATTCGGCATGAAAACTATTTTATTTCTTTTAAAAACGTATCTTAACCTGCTGACTGTTGTCATATTTGTCCTCCACACTGACAATCTTCGCCTTATCCACCCCCACTCCCTCCTCCACATTACTCAGAGACTCCACCATCACATCCCCCCTCGATGAGTCACCCTCCCCCTCGCCCTCATTCTCAAATTCCTCAAGAGTAGTACCAGCAGTGGCAGTGGCCAGGCGCTGTTCCAGGTCTGCAATGCGACTGTTCAACTCCTGCCCTGTCCGACTTAAGGTTGCAATCTCGTTTTCCAAATTCTCCTTCTCTGTCTTGTACGTATCGCTTAATTCACTTCGAGTCTAAAAATATCCATCAATTAACAGAAGCATTATAATCTTGTTCATAAAAATCTATTTCACTACTAATGATACTCTGTATTCGCCTATTTTAAACCACCATCATAGAAACTTGAAACTTCCACAGAGACTGGCGCGCATGCTTACAATTGAAACATTTCGTACTCAAGTATTCTCAATTTTTGGCAATACTTAAAGCACAGAAAAACTGACGTGGAAGCAGGACCGGATAAACAATTTTCTCAAGGGGGATTTTCAAAATATCTAAACTGCTGACCGTTTCTGCCTCTGATAGTTTGGCATTGAGCTGTTGTACTTGTTCTAGCAGCTCCGTGTGTTTGGTGGCCAGCTCCTGCAGCTTCCCCGCTGTCTCCTCACTCGTGGCCCTCAGGTGCTCACACTCATCCTCCGTCTCACTGTAGCACCTCTGAAACAAAAACACCAGTCAAACTTCAATCAAGTGCTGCATCAATCAAGTATACTTTGCCTTTAGATGTTTGGAAAAAGCTATACACTGCAATTCGATTATCCTTGGAAACAGTTACATCAGATCAGAACTCAACTTTTGATTAACATGCTTTGAAAAACCGGATCAATGAAATTCTATTAAACCCGCTGAAAAACCTAGAAATTTCTCTACTTATTAATGTAAAAATCACGCTGACAAGATAACTAAACCTTTGGTACTGAAAAACGTAACTTTTGCTCTGTTCGCAATTGAAAAACGAGCTTTGCCAGAGGCGAGCTTTGTACAGAGGCTTTGCCTCTGTGTAGAAAGTTTTTAAAATAACTAGGCGAACCAAAATTTTCGTAAGTCTCAATAAAAGAAAATTAGGGGCCCGACAAAAGCCGAGGTTCGAGTTCGATATTTTTGAATTTGTTAAACTGATGCGGTAAGAAATGTTTAACTTCAAAAATCGGGCTTTGCCTAAAACCTTAGTTGTTTTTTTACTAAATAGAGTGAAAATTTTAAAGAAATTTGAATTTTCATAAGGACATAACATTTATATTACAAAAACTTAAGTAGTCTTCGCTTGTGTAAGAAAAATTCTCGCAACAGTTTCTTTGATTGAAATTTTCATTTCAGACTTGATAGGGCAGTTTTTAAGAAAATTCAAAGTTTCTAAAAAACTTAAAATTTTGACTTTCCGTAATATGTGCTTAGTAGAGAAGACTCCCCAAACCAGGTTTCTCGATTGAACATTTAAACTGAGAATTGACACTGTAGGTTTCAAGTAAAACCAAAAAAAAATCCAAAAACCCGATCAAAGTTTCAAAACTTTTAAGTATTTAGGGTCCATATTTTTTTCTAAGGGCAACTGGGCGTAGCCAAGTGTACAGATAGTCTTTAACAAAATGTTGTTTTTATGAAACATATGACATCCGATTTAGCAGGATAGTTATCGAGAGAAGTCCAAAAAACGGTCAACAAATCAAAAATTTGACAATTCCGAGCTTTTTGTAAGAAGTTTGGTGGCAAGCGCCCATGCAGAAGAGATTCACGCAATCTGCAACTTCGACTGAACCCAATAACTCAGATTTGGGAGGGTAGTTCTCGAGAAATGTAGTTTCAAAAAACGTTCAAAAATTCACAACTTTGACTTTACCGATAGTCATTAACTTCTCCGTCAAAAAAAATTTGAACGCAGTCGCATATGCAAAGGAGCTTCTCACAACGTTTTCTTTGGATGGAACCCAAAATCTCAGATATGGGAGGGTAGTTTTCGGAAAGTATCAAAATATTTTTAAAATGGTCAGAAAATCAAATATTTGACTATTCCGAGGGCCATAATTTTGTGGTAGAAAAAAAGAAAAATTTGCGAGTAGCTGCCGATCCAGGGGAACTTATCAATTTTTTTCTACTGATTGAAACCAAAATCTCATATTAGAGAGGCTAGTTTTCAAAACATGAAATTTAAAATATGGATTTTTCGATGGCTGTAGACAGAGGGAGAGAGAAAAAAGACAAGAGAGTAGGCAGGCAGACATGGGAGTAGCCGGTATTTCTATTGATACCCCTGTTTTTAAAATTCTTTAAAAAAAACAATTTCCCCAAAGGGTCTCAAAAAAAATAAAACACATAATCTCATAAACTTTCATAATACCTGTTTTTATCAAACTAGAATTCTGGCCAAGGATACCAATCAAGACACTTGCATTTTAAATTAGCAACTGAACAAAACTTACGAACTAACGGAGCGAAAACAAAGCCGACAATCTTTAAGCAGACAAGCGTTGAGCCGGAAAAAAAACGATTTTTGCAGACTATGACTTACTGAGACTATAACTAACAACACTTGCATCTGCCATAAAACTTGCACAAGCACAAGAAAAATCTGTGATGGGATAACTAAGTCGAAAAAGCTTGTGCAGATAAACGGAAGTGCGACAATTCGATTTGCATCGAAAAAAAAAAATTCAATAGCATACATACTGAAAAAAACAAGGTCTGACGGAGATTCGAAGCCCAGAAATTAGGGAGAAAAGCAACGGCGATACCTTTAATTCAAGAGCAAAGAAACCTGGAAGTTGTTGAGATTTAAAAATAAGGTAAGTTGAAAATTTGAAAGTTAAGTTTTTACGGAAAAAAAACAAGTTCCCGCTGAAAAGACACTTGTTTTCTTAAAAGTAAATTAAAAGCCAGCCGATCAAATAGCGAAACTACCGCAAAAATAATACGAGTTATTTGTGAAAACATTCTGTCCCACTTCAATCATTGAAACGTAAACAGCATTCATTAGAGAAATTTTACACAAAAAAATCACCAAAAAATAAGCAAGGGAGCATTTATTCTTTTTGCAACGAGACAAAAAATGTGAATGTTTTCTGGCTTTTTTTCAGTCAGATCTCCTTCAACTATTTTGGCGCAATTCGAACATTTGTTAGCGTAGAGCGTAGCTTGCCTTGATTTTAGCAAATGAAAACAAACATTAAAGAACCGAAGTCAAACCGCAAAACCCAAAATTGAGCAAACAATTTTAAAAAAAATTTCCTGAAAAGTCAACATGAGCGAATCTTGATTTAAATTATGCGGACATTGCGAATAAAACTTGATATAAAATTGAAACTATAACACATTGGGTTGATTTTAGAACAAAAATTGAAAAACTTTCTCAGAATTTTAGTAAAACTAATATAGTTTAAATTAATTTGCGAAATTCTGGCCAAAATTTTTAGTCAACCAAACATTAAAACAAAACTACTTGGCCAATTCCGGATACAAATATCAATAGAGCAAACTTTCAAAATTGAGCAAATTACTTCATTTTATTTAGTAAAATTAGCATTTTTGGCAACCAAACAACAATAAAAAGTTATGATACATAGAGAGGTTATACCCTTCTTCATCATTTTTGAACTATATTGGAAGATCACTTTGACTTTACTTTCTTAGATATACTCAAAATGAAAACTGATTTCCTCAAACCTCTTTGAATTTCTAGACCAATTTAAAATAAGCACTTTTTGATAAAATTAACCAATTTTGGGAAAATTTCAACAATAAGTAAAATTTTTATTTGGCTGAGAAATCTGAAAATAAATTCCACTTTCGAAGCTAGAAGTCGATCTTTTTTCGCGACTATTACACTTTTGCTGTTCGATAGTAGAGTTTGCCTTTTTTAACCAAAAAAAAATGAACTTGAAAAGAAATCTAAAGTCAACCACGGACAAGTCAATTTGAGCGTGAACAAATTAGATTTTTCCTGAAAAAAAATCATCGCGATATATATAGGAGTCTGAACTACGTTCATTGACTCTTAGTAATGAATCCACATGTGAGTTATTGAAAGCAGGTTTGATTTTTTATTTCATTATTTCTATTTAAAATAGAACATAGTCAGCACAGAGGCAGAGCGGAGCTTCGCATCACTTCGATTAAAGACATATTAAAAAACAGAAAGTCGAAAAAAAAATTTAAACGTTGAAAAAACTAAGTGAACCAAAATTTTTCGGTTAGGGATCCATCTAAAGCTAGAGGTACGTGTTTGATATGGAATGAATTTGCTATACTGATGCGCAAAAGTTTACCCAAAACCTTAGTTGTTTCTCTTTTAAAATAAGTTGGAAGACGTAAAAAATTTTGAGATAAACAATTTTCCCAAGGAGATAACATTTCTTTTATAAAAATTAAAGAGACGCCGCTGCTCTAAAAAACGGTCAATAGTTTATTTTGCGAAAAGCATTTTGTGGCCACACAGCAGAAAAGATTCCAAAAATAGGGTTTCTCGATTGAAAAAACCTTAGAAGTGGCCGGGTAGTTTCTGCGTAAAGTTTCCAAAAACTGCCAAAGTTTCGAGAATATTCGAAGTTTTAAAAACGGTCAAAAAATAAAAAAAATTGACTTCTCCGAGTGCGATAACTTTTTGTGTAAAAATCTTGCGATCGGCCGCTAATGCAGGGTAGCTTCCCAATACCCACTATCTCCATTAAACTCAACACTATATTTGAGAGGATAGTTTTCGAGAAAAAACGAAAAGATTCACAAAACGGTCAAAAATCAAAAACTTGACTATTCCGAGGGCCATAACTTTAGGTGTTAAAAAATTTGGGCGTAACAGCTTATGCAGGGAGCGTTTCAAAACCGTTCTAATCATTGAAACCAAAAAATTCAGACTTGTGAGGGGTAATTTTCAAGAAAACGAAAAAAATATGGCTCAAACATTTCCCCATAGACTTTTTCGAAGCCTGTAGACAGGGGAGTCAAGTGAAAATCAGAAGGTTCTGAGAAAAATTAAAATTTTTCCGATAAATTTGGAAATAGTTTTCCAAACGAAAAAAAATCAACAAACCAAAACGTAGAGACACAACCAACTTGTTTATCTTCAAACGACCCCAAACTAGGTAATTAGGCCGATAAAGAGGCCAAATAATTTGGTCGGAGAATTTTTTTTAGCGTACCGAAAATGAAACACGAAGTAAAATTACAAGTACACCGAGGCGAAGCATAGCTTCGCACCACTTACGATACCCTACACACACAGCATTGCAATCTAGCAGACAGAAAATGAAACAAAAGCCACTGTCGAAAAACAATTGAAACATTTCGAAAAACAATAACTACATAAATTTCCGAAATTTGTCTGAAATGATATTCACCTTAAAAACACAATAACTGGCGTTGAATTCAGAGTATTTAGACACAAAAATTGCTCAGCAACTAAGCCGGCAAAATTTGATTAGACTTTCAAATTGTTTTCAATGGAAAAACTTTTGAAAGTTCCAAAAACCTTAACTTTTACGCTCCGCCTCAAGAAACACACCAAAAGTTGAATCTATTTTCCCTTCAAATTAACGCTTAACTAGGTCACTTACTCGATAATATATAGGCAAAAACAATTGAACCCAAACAAGCCAGCGGAAAAAAAAACGGAAAAAATTACAAACTTAGTATTTTTACAAATTACATTAACAAATCAAAACCCTTTCAGTTAAAAAAAATAAAGCTGAGCAAAAATCTTTTTCAGGGCAACTAAGCCGACCAAACAAAAGCAGACAATTAACAGGTCGACAATTTTTCGAAACAGAATATTTCCCTTTTGATTATAAAAAAATTCTGGCCTGGTTCGAATAAGGACCTTTACCACCTCAGGCGTAGTATTTTTCTCAAAAATCATGTGTGCCTGAAAACCTAATTAAGTTTGATTTTGATGTAAGCCAAACTATCGCATGTTTTTCTGTTAATATTTTGTAAAACAAGAAAAATCCGTGATGCTACAACTAAGCGACAAAACATAATCAGACTTACGATAGTTCGAATTTTTTTTTTGAAACGGAATATTACTTCTTAAAAGAACTGTCAGTAAAACCAGTAGACCAGTAGAACTTAAATTTGCGAATGTGCATGTGAATGAAATCTAGTGATTCAAGCGATTTTTTTAAGCAAGTTGTTGTTATCCCGAAAAAAGTCTATATTCCAGTTTGATAACGCTTGCTTATCGCAAGCGAAGTAAAACAGTAAAAGCAACATTAAAAAATGCGCGGAGCAAAAAAAAATCGATTCCAAGTGTGACAACTAAGCCGACAACAAATAAGGAAGAGAAATAACTGGTCGACAATTTTATTTGAAACAGAATATTTCCCGTTTGAAAAAAAAAAATTTAAACTCAGATTGCCGTCCAAGGCATAATCGGTACCTAAAGGCTAAAGTGGCTGGGAACGCAAAGAAGTTTGAATTCATTATGCAAGTTGTTAACCCGGAAAAAAGTCCATATTCCAGTTTGATAACGCTTGCTAATCGCAAGCGTAAACAAAAAATTTTCATGGGGAAAGAGACGATAAAGAAAATTACGGCCAATATAAGAATCTGAACTACGTTCATCGACTTTTATCAATGAGCTAGTGATTCGGGTAGAAAAGGAAGGACAACAGACAAAACAGCAAGAACGAACACAAGCTCAATGCTGGGATTCGTTTCTCTCGCACAGAAGCGAAGCAGAGCTTCGAATCATCTGCGATACCACAAAAATAGCATTGCAAGCTAGCAGACAGGAAAGAAAAAGATAGCCACTAAGACCAAAGAAAACGGAAAAATTTTCAAAGAAACCACAAATAAAAAATTTCAAAAGGTTGTTGAGAATGATGCTGGGAACTAAGCCAACAAAACATAAGCAGACAAATAATAATCCAACAATTTTTTTGAATGGAGATTTTTCCGTTTGAAAAAAAAACAGGTCCTGCTCAGATTCGAAGCCAAGACCTTTGCCATCCCAGGCACATTCGTTACCTCCAGGCTAAGTTGGCCGGGAAAGCATAGAAGTAAGTTGAATTCATAATGAACCAAGTGATTCTGTTAAACAAATTGTTAACCCGAAAGTCTGTATTCCAGTTTGATAACGCTTGATCATCGCGAAATAAACAGTTGCAAAAAATCAATGAACAAATGGAACCAGCAAAACAAAATTTGATTTCAAAAACACAACCAACAGACAGTTGAAAAAGAGTCAATGAACGCAAAGAAAAAAATTGACTCGTGCTTTGGAAAATCTTCATCTTTCGACTTTCAAGCGAAAAAGTATATGGCGATGAAGCTCTTTGAATTCCAAGAGCAGTTTATCATTGGCACTTTATTGATAAAAACTGAACCAATTTGAGAAACTGGATTTTTAGAAAAACTTCTTATTCCGTTGGGAAATCTAAAAATAAAATTCCACTTTCGAAACTAGAAATCAATCACGTTTTTTGCGCCATTTCAGCTTTTATAATTGGAGAGTGCACTTTGCCTACCTTCTAGCAAATGAACTTAAGTGAACTCAAAAAATGCATATTTACCAAAGGGCATTCATTAGACCACTTAAAGACTTTTCAGGGGAAAAAATCATCACGACTTATATAAGAGTCTGAACTACGTTCATCGACTCTATAAAACTGACTGTTCAAAAAAATAGACGTCCTCAGGGTGACCACTTTTTTGAGAGAAAAATAGTGACTATTGCAAATAGTGACTATGACAGTCTCTGTTTTGGCCAACATTTCTGCCACGAAAAATTTTGAAACCATAATAACCCCCCCCCCCCCCCGCCCCCCTCAATATTAGTATACATTGGCGCCGAAAGGCGCCTTTAGAAAAACTTTAGGGTACGCCACCAAAAACCGTTGTAAATTGTGACTTTTAGTGACCATTGAAAAAATAGTGACCAATAGTGACTGGTCACTAAAATAGTGACCAAGTGGTCACGCTGGACGTCCTTAAAGCTGAAACGGCATTCACTCACTGTTAAAAAATAAATTACAAGCTTCCAATGCTATAAAAATTGAGTTGAATAAACATTTTGTATTTGAAAGAGCGCAACGACCTAATCCCTGTCTTGGTTGACAAGCTTAGAAGTTCTTTAACTCCATTGTAAATTGACTTTTTTCTTTATGCCTCAGAAACCGAGATAGGTTAAACACTTACATTCACGCACTGTGAGCTTGTGCCAGCGTTGTTATTGCGACCTTGAGACTGAGAGGATTGTCTGTGTAAATTGATACAGCTGAAGTACTTCTTACACGGCGACATAACTCACGAAAGTTTCCATCTCTCAAATTGTCATTTTGATAGCGATACTAACAGAACTGTACTTCTACGTTCAATGCAATATAGAACGAAAAACCGCAATATGTTTACAGGATCTAAAGCGGACTCTTTTCAATAATCAGTTTCATGGAAGTTAAATGCATCATTCATTGAATTCGCTCGGGTTGAAAAGGCGATCATTCAAAACTTCTAGAGTAGTTAAAACCTTCGATGCTTTTCGAGTAGTTATAACCTGTAAACATGACAAGAATTATATTAACTCACTTCGACATCTGAGAGTTTGCACTCAATCTGTTGTTTCTCCTGTACTATTTTTTCCACGCTACTCTAAAACAATCAAACAAATAATTCAAACAAGAAAACGGAAGGTCTAGATACGCATTATTTATTAGTTCAATGCCAGATTTTGGACAAATTTTTCTGACACGATAAAACAACATCCCACTAAAACCTAAAATAATTCTGAAACTTCTGTACCTTTAAGTTAGAACTGCTCATTAGGAAATAAATATTCCGCGATATAATAATTACAATGAAAATTAACAATTAAGAGTTGTCATACCTTGGCATCTGCAGCATATTTGAGTTTGTCATCGTTGAGCAGTTGTATCTCTTTGTGCAGTCCCTCCTCCCCCATATTTTTGCCCAGTACGAACAACTGTGACTCCAGCAACTCCATCCGAGTCAATAAACTAACAAAACCAACTCTGGTTGTTTTCATCCCGAACACTCCAACAAGCGTGAATAAACTATACAATCGATTAAATTTCTTCTGAGAAAAATATTGAGTGCTATATACCGCAGGACACCACGAAAACCTGCAAACTTTCTACCTAAAAATTCTAAGCAAACTAAATTTGATTTGTATTCAAAAATGAACTTCGCAACAAATCTTCGTATGGATAAAAACGTCTGCGATTGGGGCTCCTTAAATGAGTCAAAAACGATGATGATACCTGTCCTCTTCGACAAGTGCTCGCCATGACTCAGCTGAACAAGTTCTGGTGTCTGTGACTAGACGTTGTAGAGCAGCCAGTTTGCTCTCCAGCAGCTGTTCCCTGTGAGAGGCCTCCTCCAAGTATTTCTGCAGCTGATACAAGTCCTGAGTTGGGATGGGAAGACCAGAGGAAAACTACAACGAAGACAAAACAAACCTAATAAGAAACAAAAATCAACTCGAGACAAAATATCAAGCATGACTTATTTTGAAAAGCAATAAAATGCTGACTTTTGCTTAGCTATCACTTTGGCTTCCCAATATCACATTAGCTTCCTGTTTTTTTTTAAATTAGAACATAGTGTATACTAACTAGAATCTGATTTGAACTACCAGGGGCAGAGCTGAAACAAAACATGGGTTTCTTCATTGATTCATGGTACGTTCTACCACTAGTTTAAGGACTGCATTAACTAACACTGGTTTAGCTGCAGATCCATCTGGATGGTACAAATAGACGACACCAATTATGCAGCCGTGAGTCACGGAAACTGAAAACAAAGTTCATTGTAGTCAAAATTGTTTTGAGCACAACTAATTGTTCAATGTGAGCAAGGTACCTCCATTGCGTTGATTTTCCACAACGTCCACACCAAACTGGATCAAATCTTCGTGAAAAATCTCCTTCGGCGGACTTTCTTCACTGCCCTTGTTTAGCCTCTGATTTGCGACAAAGGTACCATTGGCACTTTTTGTGTCTTGCACCCAGAACTAAAAGCACAAATAACACCAATGATATCAAAACAGATGCAAGAGATCACCTTCAATTGTAATGCAGTGTGAAACTCTGAAAGCATATCAAAATTTTTAAAAAAAGGCAGACGTGAAGCCGAGCTTGAACTCAATTACAGAAAGAAATACAAAAAGTATGGTACAGATAATGTGGCCAACAAACAGTCGGAAAAAAGTCAATGAACGCAAGTATACAGAAAAAACGGTGTCAGGACTATTTGTCCCAAGTCAATTGGCCCTATGCCAACTTGTCCTATACTAACTTGCCCTACATGGCAACTTGTCCTATGCCAACTTGCCCCACAAGACATTTTGTCCTATGCCGTTTTGTCCCATACTTAACGCTTTTACTTGATTCTTTTATGTTCAAATTGAGGACCAGCAAGTGCTAATGTAGACAGGACTCGTTTTGAGATAACAAAAGACTAATCGAAAATTATTGAAGCTGAGCCTAAAAAACCATAATTTTTGTTAATTACACACCAAAATTTGACAATAATCCACAATTAGCGCCACTGAAACAAAATGAAAATACGGCTATTCTTTCATTTTGCTTCATTGTTTACCATTTTGTTCCTAAAAGTCCAACAAAAATACTGAGTCAACTTACGTGGGGAATATCTCAACGAAATAAACGAACGCTTATTATTGACGGACACGATTTCACAAAAAAGCAAACGACAAAAACTACTGAGCACTGGAGATGCGCAAGATACAGTTCACACAAATGCCGCATGCTCGCCGTCACAGCAGGAGATGAACTCGTATCAACAAAAAATGAACAGAGCCACGATGTTAGACCTGGGAAAGTTGAGGCAAACCAGATCATGCATCAAATGAAAAGAGCAGGAAATTGTACCTGTCATTTTGCTCTTTCCCTCACCCCCGCCCCCTATTCTGGGTTACCCAGTATAGGGGGGGTTTAGGGGCGAGGCAGTACCTGCGGTTTTCCATTTCATCAATTTCATACTCAAATTTTTTGACTTCTTCAAGTTTTGGACTCTTGACTTCTTGATTATGAGTGTTGTGCACTATTAACTATGCTATAGGAGCTTACAAGATCAGCAATCAACCTTTTGAAATGTTTAACTCGACAAGAAAATTGCATTGAAGTTTTGCCGCTTTCATTTTATTCATGCATGCTTTGAACTCATTTTGATTCAGCACATGTTTTAATGATTCCGCTTTTTGTTTCAAGCTTAATTGTTCAACAAAAATATCTTTCATCTTTATGTCGACATTATGTTCTACGAGGATATCAAAGAATCTGGGGCAAGTTTCCTTTTTTTATTATCTGGGACAAGATGGCATTGGACAAGTTGTCATCTGGGGCAAGTTGGAATCGGACAAGTTGGGCTGGGACAAGTTGACTTGGGGCAAATTGACATGTAACCGAAAAAACACTGACTTGAAAAGTGACTAAATTAATTACTCAATTAATTTAAGTGACTTATTAAAGTCCATTTTCGAAGACGATCAGATTTTTCGTTACCTCAACACTTTCGCTGTTCGATAGTGGAGTTTGCCCTTCTTTGGCAAAAAAAAAATACGGAACACAAAAAGAAATTAAAAGTCAAACCTCAAAAAATATATATTCGAGTGTGAACAAATTTTAACTTTTTCTGAAAATAAAAATAATCACGACCTATACTGGGAGACCTTGAAAACGCAACAGCAAATATACAAGGAGACAAGTGTTTTTAAAGTAAATGATTTCAGAATTTACAAAAAACAAGTGCTTGCTGTGATAGATAGCAACAATAATTGACAATTGCCTGGAAATTGAGCTCAAGATTAAAAAAAATTGGCAAAAAAAACGTAAAAAGGGCTAATATTTTTATTAAAATTTTTTTATCTAATACATTTTTGGAATAAATTTATTACCTTGATTTCTTCATAGTTCTAAGAAAAACATTGCCTTTTTAAGGGCAACAAACCTAACCAATCCAATAAATTCATCTTTAAGTATGGCTTTTGACAACTCTTTTCTCTTCATACGACCGTTTGAGGCTTAAACCTCAACATATACGCCTATAACATTGCAGAACACGTTAACCCATAGAAAAACTCAATACAACAATCAATTGTAGCGTTTGTAGAATTTTTTGAAAAAAAACATCTTTTTCTCTCAAAGAAGCGGCTGACTCTAAACCACTTAGATTAATTTGCAACACTCCAAAAGGCATTGCAGAAAGCTATTTGAACATGCTTGATGGATAAAAATACATCATCTTAATGCTTTTTAATTTGAAAATATTTTTGAAGCTTTTAAATAACCCAAATTTAGACAAAGAAGACCAGATGCTGTGCAGATAGCTTGAATTTTCCGACTAAAATGATGTAAGAAAAAACAATAATGGACAAAAAATTTGAACAAACTTTTTTTCCAATTTTTATCGTTTCCATTTTAAATTCAGCGTTTTTATTTTCTTCAATTGAAAATTCTAATAACTGAGCGAAATGTCATCTATAGAAGTGGACCAAATGTCAGGAAAACTTTTTGTAGGTGGAAAACATTTTTGAAGCTACCTTCGACTTTTTTTCGAGAGAATCCCACATAACTGAAAAAACTAAGGTTTCCGGCATTTGAACCTATTGCACTTGAATATCCTTGCTATACAATAAAGAAGAAGCAAGACTATCTTGGTGCGAAATGATTGAGCTTGGAAAAAATCGAAAACATATTAAAAGCAGAATTCCATCACTGCCCGATTTTCGACCCTTCAATACACCTACGCCACCATTTGTTAACGAAATTTTTCACAAACAAAATAAACACGTCGTGCTTACATAAATAAATCAATTTCTGTTTTACCTGATTATGTTCATACCAGACAATTCCATGGTTCCTGGAGAGAACTTTGCAGTCAAATATGAGGTTGTTTGTTGCTGGTTTTATTCTCCCGACAGATCGTCCAACCTTTTGTGGCTCAGTCAGATATAATACTCGTTCTTGAAAAGGATGACTGTTCCCTTTGCTTGCAAACACCAGTTTAGGCGCCGAGTTTTGCCTAGGCTGTGAACTCATACCTCTTCTCCAAAACTATTTAGCAAACAAATACCTCCCACATTATCTGAAACAATAAATTCGTTGAAAAAAAAACACTCTAATTACTATAAAAAATAGCCGTTGCATTAATAGAAGCAGAAAAAAATACTTGTAATAATTATACTTAAAAGCCGTTGCATTGGTACAGAAACCAGTAAAAGTGTAAAATAAATATTAGGATCAAAGTCAGATTAGTTACTGTAGATTAGTTAGAATAAGGATTGCAAATGAACATTGAAAAAAAAAACAATTTGTGATCCATGTAAATCTGAAATCATTGCTTAAATCAAACAAAAAAACTGCAAATAAACTAATGAAAACGGAATTTACGCCACGTATTTGTATACGTACATATAGGATAAGATTACATTTCAGTAATATAACTGTTTCAACTATTTCTTGAACGTTGATTTGGTTATGTCAAATTGTCTTAGTATAACGGAAAAAAATCAGCTTTTTGACATCAGATAGAAATATTTTTGTAGAGAAACAGTTGAACGATGTATATCAAATGTTATTTGCTTCGTCCGTTTATTTTTCTGTGATTAGCTGTCGATAGAGTTTTACATTTGTAAAAGCTGTCCTTTTGTTTGTAAGACATTGACATAGATACGTACTACAATTCAGTTCAATTCCAATAATGATTCACTCTTTTGTAGTGCGTTAGATTTAAATTTTGAATTGAAAAATGTGCGTTTCACGCCGAGTTCAAATGTTTTTCTTAATTTGCTCTATTTTAATGACAAACTTAAGCAATGCAGCAAACCAATCAAAACAGTGTTGGAAACTGTTGTCAAATAGTATCAATCGTTTTTTTAAAGGTAATCAGAAGGTCAAAAGTACCATAGTAACCGAGGTTACAGTCTGGAGTCCCTTCATCACGTAATTCAGTCAAAGTCTTTGGAATTTTCTAAATATGGAAGTGATAATGATAAAAGAAGATGACAAGTGTTCAAGTCCTTTTCAATTAAAATCAATACGGGTTACCTTTCTTCAATAAGAGCACGCAACTCGACACGAGAAAATATAATACACAAGTGTTACAAATAAAAAACTTCGTCGAAAGTTATTTTGTCATTAATTGTTCCGAGTAAGCAAGCAGCGTTCGCAATCTGTATTGCCAGGGAGATTCTCGGTTTTAAAAAGCTGCCTGCTCTGGGTTCCTCAGTGCATATGCTTAGGTTCTTACAAAGCTGGCTCAAAAAAATTTCTGTGCTGGGGCCGAAAGCGCCCCGAATTTCAAAAGCTAGCGGTTGAAAAAGATATCCATCATCTACAAGAGCTTTATATTTGTCATTTTTTGCTCTTCCGCTTCAGCGGCAGCCGTACCAGGGTTACAAACAGACCCGGCATTAATTGTACAAGGAGCTAAGGAGTCTACTACCATTTCATCCCACAAGAGCTGCTGACCAACAGCCCATGGAACGAGCGTCAAACCGTCTGGTCGCTTCTGATTGGTCCTTTAGAGGTGTCATAGTTCTAAAACAGACGGAATATGAGCAGAAGATAAACTCTGCTTTATAAGGGCATTCAGGTTTGAATGCTTAGAGAATCTCCCTGCACTTTTGAAGCAAGAAAGACTACGCCAACCATCCTCGGTAACGTCATTTCCGCACACGCATTTATGCCGTTCGCATATTTTTGAGCCTAATCGAAATCCTATCGCAATTCTGACTTGTTGGTTCGATAGTTTTAACCTTAAATTTTTGCATGGGATGACGTTCAACCATTGGGAGCCAAATCTATCTTGGAACGCGTTGAATCTTTTCACGTCCGTTGGTTCGAGTCTGAAAATCAAGTCTGCAGTTTCGCTGTCAAAAATTGGCTCCGATCAATTTTTTTGAATTTCATTTTCCGGAGCCATTTCAATTTTTTCAAGTTCAAACCACCGTTTAAGCGCAGCCTAATTGTTGTGATAAACTTATTAAATAGTTTTTCAGAGTATGGCCAATTCGGAGAGTGCCCGTGGTCACTATCGACGTTTACCATCGACGAAGAACTACTACCCAACTATAGAAGAACTGCTCGAGGCTGACAACGATGATGTAACAAGAGTATTCAACGACATGACGAAGACAAGTCTCATGTGTATCTGTCGCGAAATTCTATCACAAGTTAGAAGCCAGAAGAACCCAGTCAAATCATTGGATTCAGTCGAAAGTACAATTCAGAGAGCAGTGGAAAACACTTTGAAAGAAGAATTGGCTCCCCTGAAAAATGTTCCCCCAAGACTCGCAAAAGAAGAAACTGAGAAATCTACACAGAGAGTCGAGAGATCTACTGCTACATCAAAGGCCGATCTTGGAATTCGAGTTCGTGGTATACCTGAACCTCAAGGTGAAGACATGCCGGAAAAACTTGAGAGTGACAAAAATTCGGTATTATCACTTTTGAATCATTTAGATGTAAAAGCTAAGTTGAAGGACACTCGAAGAGTGGGAAAATTTGTTGAAAATAAACACCGCCCCATCATATTTTATGTTGAAAACCCATGGGATAAACGGTTGATCTTAACCTCATTATCGAAATTGAAAACTTACGACTCCAGTAAAAAACTCTCAGTCTCACAGGATTTTACTGAAAACGAACTCAAAGCCGAAAAAATAGCTCTGAAAAAACGATATGATCTAATGCAAGCCGGCGTCAGCAAATCAGAGCTGAGAATCAAAAACCTCCTTCTCTACAAAAAAGAAAAAAAAGAAGATGGTGATGTCTGGATACCAGTATGACTAGACCATGCTAACAAATCAATGCCTAAAATAATGTTTGTAAACGCTCGATCTCTCAAAAAATCGGGTGCCACAAGTGATTTACTTGCAGATATTCTAGAAAACAATATTCAACTCTGCTGTGTCACCGAAACCTGGTTCAACTCAGAGTTTCCCTCAAGTAATTTTTTTATCCCCAACTACAACCTCATAAGGCACGATAGAACCAGGGAATTCAAACATTGGATTTTAAAGTTTGAGTTTGAGTAAATTCTGTTTGAGTTTGATGTTTGAGTTTGACTCAAACAGTGAAATGATGTTTGAGTTTGAGTTTGAATTTTTTATGTTGACACTCAATTTTCATGTCTTTAACCTTGGCATGACATACACCGTTTTTTGCGTAGATTCTATTGAAAATGACCAAATTGCATTTAAACCAAAACAACAAAAATCTACCATTTATTGGCAATTAACAGTAACAATTAGCAACAGTAACAATTAGCAACAGTAGCAATTAACAAGTAACAGAAGTAAATCAGTTAAAGAGATAGCAGTTCGAACCGATTCGAAATGCCTGATAGTAATAGAATGTCAAAGATCCACGGAATTAAAAAATAATGCGCGATTTTCTTACGGAAAAAATCCTACACAAAAACAGGCAGGGTTTGAGTTTGAGTTTGATGTTTGAGAATATAGACGTCTACAGTTTGAGTTTGAGTTTGAAAGGAATAGTTTGAGTTTGATGTTTGACTGTTTGAGTTTGAGTTTGAACTCCCTGGATAGAACACCTTCCAACTCCAACAAAAAAACAGGTGGTGGAGTCTGCATCCATCACAATGAAGATATTGAAATTCAACCTATCAATGTATCTAGATGTCAACAGTTTGAGATCCTATGGACAAAAATTACAGCTCCAACCAAGCTCATATTGGTTGTTCTGTATTACCCACCATGCTTAAATAAACAAAAAGACTATGTTAATTACCTCGCCAGCACTGCAGAAGACCTCATGCTCACCCATCCGAATTATGAACTAATGATTGGAGGAGACTTTAATGACTTGTCCACAGTCGAACTCACAAGCTGTCTCCATTATTTTCGCGATCAAAGATACCAGAACGTGTTCAATTTCAACAATCAACTCAGTTATGAAGATTTTACATATGTTTACACGACCTCAGATCCTGACGTCGCAATGATGGGTCTCCTGGACCATCTAAAGGGAGTTCTCGACCTCAACTGCCTCCTCAAAAAAGTGAAACTATCAAATAAAGATCCTCATTACATTACTCCTCTAGTTAAACACTTGCTGAAAAAACGTAACCAACTGAACAGGAAGCGAAATCATCGACAAGTCTCTCTCCTGACTGACCAAATTCGAAATCTGATAAAAGACAACATGCTTAAGGGATCTGGAAGGCGAGGTACTCAGAAGTGGTGGAATGTAGTGAATCAGCACACTGGACGAAAACAAAATAGCATCACCCAAATACCGTTCACCCCAGATGAAATTTGCAATTTCTTCACTGATATATCAACTCAACATGACCCAATAAACTTACCTCCTCATGAAGTAGTCGGCGACTCACCAATCCCAGAGCTTTTCCTTCACCAGATCTACTACTCTTTGCTTGGCCTAAAGAAAACAGCGGTCGGATACGATCAACTTCCCACATGGGTTTTCAAAGATAATGCGCATATTCTAGCCGAACCCATTCATTCGATTTATAACAGATGTCTAGCATCATCCTCATTCCCTAACTGTCTGAAACGTTCTCGGATAATTCCGGTCCCAAAAAGTGCTAAAGTAAATGACTTGAATAATCTCCGCCCTATATCAGTGACCCCAGTAATTGCGAGACATTTCGAGCGACTAGTTTACGACAATTTCCTTAAAGAACCCTACAATCGATGGTTATCGAGAAATCAGTTTGGTTTTCGCCAAGGAGGCTCCACTGAGTTTGCCCTTCTGAAGATCCTGGATACCTGCAAAAATCTAGACACTAGTGATCATGATTATATCAAGCTGATTTTTTTAGATCTGAGCAAAGCGTTCGACAGAGTACCACATGAGCTTGTCCTAACCCAGCTCAAAAAAATATCTGGTTTGAGCTTTATAACTGAAAGAAGTCAATTCGTTTGCGTGGCTGGAAGGTCATCGGACTTGATGTCACCCAATTCAGGCGTCCCGCAGGGTACAATCATGGGCCCACCCTGTTTCAATCTAGCATACGACGACTTGAAAATTGATGAAGACGTGAACTATCACTCGGAATGCCAAATGATCAAGTTCGCCGATGACAATAATCCAAT